ATACTTGAGCAGCTAGTCCTCTCCTGTGTTGATTACTCCCATTTCTCTGTAAACTCCACAACTTAATCCTTTGAATCTAAATAACTTTCAATCATCATCAATTGCCCCTCCTCCTGATCTGTGCCATGGTTGTCTGAATCTCACAGCTATTAGCTTTCTCTGCCATCAATCATTGTACTCCAGAGCATTTTATGAAAGAACACATGTCCAGGATGCCTTTAGATGTGCAATCTTTAGCTGTGCTATCTGCTTATAAGTTGATTGATTATAAATCAAGCAATTTAGACAGGTGAATGTGCGGGTTTCGCTCAAATGTAGTTCTTTTTATGAAGTACATTTTCAGGGTTTTTTTTACCCATTTTTGTTTCAAAGTCACAGGGTTACACTTGCAGGGGTTTTTAGCATCACCAGCTTTTCAGCATCCTGGCTATCACAGCTCTGCCCACCTTGGACTACACAGGCTCCTGGCCAATTACACACACAGGCTCCTAGTATCTCTTTTAGGCCACAGCTTGGTCAGATCTAGCCACCTACCAGTAGACACTCTCCTAGTGTCACTCCACCCGTACGCTGATCTAGCAGCAGCTTGTCTCCAGAGGAAAGGAGCCCTGAAACACAGACAGCCCTTTGATTATATCAGGCTGCTGGTTTTCAATAAGAGAAGGACACAAGATTAGATGATTCATCCTTCAGCAGACTCATCGGAGCCTTCAGACTCCAGAATCCGATACAGGAGTTACCATTCCTGAAAACCCCCCATAAAATCAGTTTTCTCCACTCCATCCTGGAGCTCCTCACCTTGCACCATTGAGAGCCCTGTGAGACATACAAGATCTGTCTGGAAAGTATCTGGCCATGTAATATGAAAATTAGACATTTTTCAGAGGACAACAATACCGCAGTCCCCTTCAACAAATTTTGTCATGATTTTCATTTAATTTCAAGATCCTGCATCAAAATCTCAGAAACAGTAGTTTTTGAAATCACCAGGTCAGCTTGTAGTTCTCAGACTGTCAGTCGTTGGTCTTTGTTGATTGCAGCTTGTAAACATTGAACATTCTCAGGTATTCTGCTTGTTGCACGCCTTCCAGACTGTGGATCACTTTCAGTAGATTCTCGCCCATCTTTGAACCATTTGGAATGTTCAAGCTTAATGCAAAATTTGATACAGAATTGTTGCTCTACTTGCTCAGTCTATTTGAATGCAACGGCCACACTGTACACATGCTCACTCAATGGAGTCTAGGTCCCCCACTGACTGATTCAGTGAAGAGAAGTTGTCATTGTTCACTCTTGCACATTCCAGTCCACTCTCCTTGGCTGCCAATGATGCGCAAACCATTGTTCACAGTGAGAGCTGTGAAAATGTGGAAAAGACTCCCTCAAGAGTTGGTTCTGGCCAGCTCAGTGGATTGCTTCAAAAAAGTCCTGGATTCTTTCCTAGATACACAGAATATAACTGGATACTAACATTTATAGGTAAAGTTGATCCAGGGAATATCCGATCGCCTCTCGGGGGATCAGGAAGGAATTTTGTTCCTAGCAGGAGCAAATTGGATCATGCTTTGGTGGGTTTTTTTGTCTTCCTCTGGATCAACTGTGGGGTGTAGGATTATAATTTTTTTTTTTTTGTGGTTGAACTGGATGGACGTTTGTCTTTTTTCAGCCAGACTAAGGCTGTTCATACATTATACAATTTTCTTGAGATTTTTTCTTTAGATTTACCAAAAAACATATAATATGAGGTCAAACCTAAACAACACTTTCAATTGTATCCAATTGGGCAGACCCTTGAACTACATAGTTGAAGGTGAATCTAAAGGAAATTGGGCAGACATTGGACAAAAAATTGTATAGTATTTGGCCAGCCTTACTATGTAACAATGTAACCATCCCCTTTTTATTTTAACAATGGTTGGATACATTCAGGAAAGACCTCATATACCCCTTCTGACTGTTTTGTCTTTTTTCAGCCAGACTAAGGCTGGTCATACATTATACAATTTTCTTAAGAATTTTTCTTTAGATTTACCAAAAAACATATAATATGAGGTCAAACTTAAACAACACTTTCAATTGTATCCAATTGGGCAAACCCTTGAACTACATAGTTGAAGATAAATCTAAAAAAAAATTGGGCAGACATTGGACAGAAAATTGTATAGTGTATGGCCAGCCTTACTATGTAACAATGTAACCATCCCCTTTATTTTAACAATGGTTGGATACATTCAGGACAGACCTCATATACCCCTTCTGACTCCATGAAAAGGTGTAGCACTGTCACAGAAGGAGTCACAAATCAAGCAACTGATCAACAGATTGTACATCCAATGTCTGCAGCACTCAGTAGCCAGGAGGAGCATGCACAACTAAAAGGATCCCGGTGAAGTGTTCTTTCTTATAATGCTCATGCTTTTGGAAGAAGATCTAAGCCTAGGCGCTGTGATCTCTACCAAACTTTGAGCAAATGTGATATAACTAGGTCTGAAAAGAAGTATTTCTTGAAAAAAAAAGTTATTTGATTGATAAACTTTAATTGCATGTTGATGGGTAGGGGAGTGGGAATTTGACTTGCGGTACTGCATATATTACACTCAGCTTTAAACTTTGCACAAGCTACGACTCTGCTTCAGCCTAAAACAATTTACTCTGCGGTTTTGAATGCAAAGTTCTGTCTCAAGAAATTGATTTAGCTTGTTATAAGTAAACACTTTACAAAAACTGCCCTGGCTGAACAGAACCGGAGCATAATTAACAAGGAAATGAAGATGTTTTCTGACCGAGGAAGCGTAGCATAACTCGGCTTTAACCTCTTTGACATGGCTTGCAGGTTTAATTGGCATTGCCTCTGCCAAGAGTAACACTGAGACATTTTAGCATTGATGACCGCAAAACAGTTCATTTCAGCTGAGGTGGTAGTTTTGTAACCTGAAAAAAAAAAAGTGTGTGGGAAGAAGTGCTTTGACATCACTCAATTAGTACACGACGCTGAGAGGCGTCAAGGGAGTGTTTCAAAGCTCACGGCTGAAATACCGTGCCGTATAATGACTCGGGGATGGTTGGGGAAAGAGTTTGTTTTTTAGCCAAGCCATACTCTTTGCAAGGGCTGTTCTTTTTTTTTGTATAGACGATTTCAAGAACAAATATTAAATATTTATTTTAATGAAAACTCTGCAATCAGTATTAGACTCTTTGTGCTTCTAAAAAAAAAAAATAAAATCACACACTTCTTGAATCCAATAAAACATGTAGCTACCTAGTTACAGTAATCCTCGATGCAGGTTCTGATGTTCCTGGGATAAACCGGATAATTACTGAATAACATGTTCTGTGCTACATTTTAAACTTTCAAATTTGCCTATGAGCAGACTCCACTCATCCTTTACACTGCAAGACTGGCTTCCTCTGTGTGCCTCCTTGAAACTAGTTTCCTTTTATTTTCGGGACTTGATGTACCCTGACTTAACTCTTTCCACTACCAGAGCCATATTTGCATATTTTGCACACATAATAAAATGCACATTTTAGGCCCAAAGAGTAGCTTTAAAGCCAGCATAAAAAACAAGCCCTTGACGACCTCTGTAGCTGCTGGTGCTGCGGAGCAATTTGTCCTCAAATTTTACAGCAGAAGCCCCAAAGTCATTGAAGTTATTCTCTAAGTCAGCTCAGCTCAGCTCCCCCTACTTTCCCTTTCAATAGTGTCTCAGTCCACTGTTCCCCCTCCCAGCAGTGACTGAACAGTCTACTTTAAAGCAGGGTTCCACCTGAAAAAAAAAAAAAAAGGTCAGCAGCTACAACAACTGTAGCTGCTGACTTTCAAAATACAGCCACTTACCTGTCCCTCGGTCCAGCGGTGTCCTCACCACGGCTGGTTTCACTGGCCGTCTTCTCTCCCTGGCGCTGGCATCTTCAGTATGGGCACCCGGCTGTGACAGCTTGCGGATTCACAGGCGGGTGCCCATTGCACATGTGCAAGAAGCACTGCGCTTTGTGAATGGCCCCGTAGTCTTCTGGGACCTGTCACGTGTCCTAGAAAACTACAGGGAGGGAGGGGGGAGGACAACTTCCTCTTCTGATCACCTTAGGTGATCGCAGCGGAAGTGGGAGCGGGTATCTGTCAAATTCGGGTACCCGCTCCCCAAAGGTGCCAATCCTTAATGGGGAGCAGGGGACAAAGTCTTAAAGCGGAACTTCCCCTTTTGGGTGGAGCTCCGCTCTAAGTTGTAAACCCCTAGGGTCCTTTCTCACGGATCGGACCCATTTAGTGGATCCGCTTGCTCACTGGGGGATCCCTCTGATGATCCCCACTGAGGAAGCAGATGATAGCTCTGTGTCTATTCCGCTGCTGCAGAGGAGACACAAAGCTACTCACTCTCCTCAATGGGCGGTCAGATGAAAACGGACTACCTGTCTGTTTTCATCTAATCCAATCCGATGGCAGTAAGGGTAATTGGATCTCCATCCTTCCCTTTTTGGCGGATCAGATGTCGGCGGGTGTAAACAGACACATGTCCGTTTACACCCACCACTCCATAGAGCAGAATGGAGGTTCCGATTGGGTCTGCCTGAAAAACGAGCAGGCGGACTTGATCGGAATGTCCGTGTGAAAGAGCCCTTACATATAAGTCTGGGCCTCAGGTGGTACACAGAGATGAACCTGTTTATCTGAAGCCCTCTCTTATTTGCAGGTGTAATCTGAAACCTGAGTGGAGGGAAAGGACCCCCCCCTTTACTAAGCCTCATAGGGAAACATGCAACGTTGAGGCTGTCAATCACTTGCTGTGTGTTGGGTCTGTTTCCCAGGATTGCTTGGTGTCAGCCTAGACCAGGGGTCCTCAAACTTTTTTAAACAGGGGGCCAGTTCACTGTCCCTCAGACCGTTGGAGGGCAGTACTATAGTTTAAAAAAAAACTTTGAACAAATGCAGGTATAATACAGGAGATGACCAGAGACTGCGGACATAGTACAGGAGATGACCAGAGACTGCGGACACAGTACAGGAGATGACCAGAGACTGCGGACATAGTACAGAGTACAGGAGATGACCAGAGACTGTGGACAGAGTACAGGAGATGACCAGAGACTGTGGATACAGTACATGAGATGACCAGAGACTGCGGCAGTACAGGAGATGACAGAGTGCGGACATAGTACAGGAGATGACCAGAGACTGCGGACATAGTACAGGAGATGACCAGAGACTGCGGACACAGTACAGGAGATGACCAGAGACTGCGGACATAGTACAGGAGATGACCAGAGACTGCGGACACAGTACAGGAGATGACAGAGACTGCGGACACAGTACAGGAGATGACCAGAGACTGCGGACATAGTACAGGAGATGACCAGAGACTGCGGACAGAGTACAGAGAGATGACCAGAGACTGCGGATACAGTACATTAGATGACCAGAGACTGCGGACACAGTACAGGAGATGACCAGAGACTGCGGACATAGTACAGGAGATGACCAGAGACTGCGGACATAGTACAGGAGATGACCAGAGACTGCGGACACAGTACAGGAGATGACCAGAGACTACGGACATAGTACAGGAGATGACCAGAGACTGCCGACATACAATGGTGGCGGGAATACTGGGCTGGCCGCTCCATAAGACGCACAGAACATTTCCCCCCAAGTGTGAACAGAAGAACTGCTTTCCAGTACCCACAACTACAGAGGTAAGCAATAGACATGTGCATGCTGGATAAATTTGTTTAGTTTACATTCTTTCAGTGCAGAATTTCTTATTGGGATTCGTTTGGTTTTCTTTTTGGATTTGTTTTTTGGATATTCATTTTTTCGAATTTGATCAAAATTCTTTCAGAAAAAATTTGAATTCGAATTTGAACTCAATTTGAATTCTTCGGGAGGAATTTCAACAAAACCTGACATTAAAAAAGAAAAAAAAAGCGTGGCGTTCCCCTCCAAAAAATTAATGTGTGGCACTAAAAAAGCAGGACCTGAGAATGTAATGAGCCATTAAGGTTGCAATGTATTAAAATGATCACATTTACATCTTAACATTTACATGTAACATCTTTTTTTCCCCAAAAAAATTGAAAGGGTAAAACATTCTTTTTAAAAATTGTAAAATTCTATTTTTTTTTTAAGAATAAGAATAGAGATGAGCGAATCGAAGTATCCGAAGTGGAATTCGAGTCGAATATCGGAAAAAAAATTTCGATTCGTGCCCGAATCCGAAAAAACAGCCTAATTCGGGACGCGCGAATCGAAATTTTTCCGAAAATGGCGGCTGACATGTGCGGCGACGGAGCGGGGATGTCGGGGAAGGCGCCGCCAGCCCGCACTGGTAATTTGGTCGGGTATTTATAGCGGCCATTTTTTTGGGAAAACTTCTTTGCCTGCAGTATTGAAAGAGGGGACCGCTCTGTTTTC